CCTCCTCCTCCTCCTCCTCCTCCTCCTCCTCCTCCTCCTCCTCCGCATCCCTGGAGGGTTACCACGAAATGTTCTAAGAAACCGCAAGCAACATCCCAAGAACAGGCAAATAGAGGTATTGGAACATGGGCCCGACGTGTTAAGACAAGACGGTCTCAGCCAGACACGTTCTAAGAGCACTTCGTACAAACCACAGAAGGTTCTTAGAACATACCTTGGTGGGCCTATAGGCGAGCCAGGACGCTTCGCCACTCCTTGACACAGGGCTGTCCGTTACTTCCCCGACCCTGCGATGGCCCTGCCCAGCCCGGCGCCGCAAGAGCAGGGCAGAAGGAGGTGAGTGCAGAGAGCCGACGAGCAACGTCGTTTAGGAGACGCACCTCAAGGAGGAATCGAACAGGGCAGGGGCGTTTCGTAAACGCCCAGGGCCGCTACGAAAACGCGAATTATGGGGGCGGGGTGGGTTTTCCTCCTTGGATCGTTGGGGGGCAAGGCGCAGGGACGCAGGGTAAGAGGGCGGGCAAGTAGGGAGGGGGATGCTCCTGAAGGGCAGGGCGGGGAGGGAAGTGGCAGGGGGGAGCATGACGACGGGGGAGGAGGAAGCGAGGGGGAAGGGGAGGGAGTGAAGGACGGAGAGGAGGACGAGGAGGAGGACGACGACGACGCGGACGACGGACGACGGACGACGGACGACGGACGACGGACGACGACGACGACGGCGACGACGACGACGACGACGGCGACGACGACGACGACGACGACGACGACGACGACGACGAGGGGCCCTCCGCGCCTCTTTGCGGCCGCCCGCGTCGCACGCCGGCGCGGCGGTGGACGCGGAGGACGGGTGCGAGGCCGCGAGGCCCTGGGCGGGCAGAGGGAGGGGCGTGAGGAGGAGGAGGAGGAGGAGGAGGAGGAGGAGGAGGAACAGGAGGAGGAGGTGGAGGAAGAGGAGGAGGAGGAAGAGGAGGAGAAAAAGAAGAAGCAGGAGCAGGAGCAGGAGCAGGAGGAGGAGGAGGAGGAGGAGGAGGAGGAGGAGGAGGAGGCGGAAGGCCCAGCAAGGCGATCGCGCAACTCTCGTCGTCGGCTGCGGCTGCCTCGCAGAAGAGCTGATGCGTCCAGGCGCCGCGCTCACTACTGCGTCCAGCTCGTGGCCCGTCGTGGCCTCCTGTCGCGGGCCTCCGACATAGCAGCGATGGGGCGCCTGCGCTTCTCCCATAGTCTGACCACCTCTGGCAGCAAGCCTAGGCATCTCACCCCCCGGCCCTTCGCATTCGGTACGTTGTAGAACAGTATGTCCGACTGCGGCCATGGCGCGCCGCCCTCGACCGCGTCGAGCACGTCGGTGATGCGCTGGATGCCCTCAGCGCCCCCTGGGCCCACGGGCGCGGGCGCCACTGCCGCGCGCCCAAGCCCCTCTGCCTCTTGAGGCCCATGCAGTGCTGGCATACCTCGGCGGGGGCCAGCGGCGCCAGCTCCGGCTCGCGCGGCGGCGGGCGCTCCTGTCGGGGAGCATGGCCCCCTGCAGGCCTGCGCCAGACCTCCCCCCAGCCCGCCAGGACCTTGCCCACTGTGCGCCGGAGACGAGGGCGGCGGCCCGCTCGGCGCCCACGGCGTCGACGGCTTGGTCCACTTGCGCAGCGGGCCAGCTCCGCCCGCCGAGTGCGCCTGCACCCACTGCCTCCACTCCGTCGTCGCCCTGGCGAGGGCCACCCTGCGCCCCCGGTCGGCAACCTCGCCGGCCTCGAGCGCCCAGTGCTCCGCGCGCGGCACTCCGCCCGTCCGCGCGCCATTGGCGCCCCCGAGGTTGGTCATCGCACGCTTCGCGCACTGCCAGTCGTCCGCCGCGGGGCCGTCGGGCCGCGCCCTCAGTGCTCTCTCCTCGGCGGCTGTCAGCGGCAGGAGGCCCATGTCGATGACCTCCTGGCATGCCTTGTTTAGCTTGAGCTGTTTTCGCTACGTGTTGCAGGGGCTGGCCTGCCCCCCGCTTGCGCCTGCGGCCAAGCGCGCCCGCTCCTGCAGTCGGTATCTCAGCCGCTCCGCCGTGGCGGCCCTCTTGGTCGGGGCGCCCCCTGGTGGCTTGCGCGCTGGCGCCAGCGTTACCTCCAAGAACTGCCCCGTCTGGATGCGGCCCTGCCTCCGCGCCAGGTCGCCGCCCGCGAAGCCGTGATGGCGGTTCAGGTTGGCCTCGTAGGCCTTCGCGGTGCTCTTCCACGGCGCGCGTCGATCTCCTGCTGCTCGGCGTTGCCGTCGAGGTCGGGGCCGATGGGCCACTCGACGGGGCCGCCGCGCATCCCCGCGGCATGTCCAGCGGCCGGCGCGCGATCTCGGCCAGCTGCGTCACCTTGCATGCTGGGGCGCTCTTGCCCAGCCAACACGAGACGGGGAAGTGTGGGCTGCATCTGGCGCGCATGGCCAGGTCTGTCTTCACCGCGCTCCGTCAACGCCAGCCCCCCCGGCGCGAGGAAGCAGTCGCGGGCGATGGCCTCCCTCATCTGGCACCTTGCAGCTTGCACGTGCCCTCGCTCGGTCGGATGATGACTCCCCTCAGTGGGTCGACCACCCCGCTCTCGTGCAGCAGCTCTGGGCCCGTGTTGAGGTCGCCCCCGAGGGCCCACTGCATGCCCGTGGCGTCCGCCCGCACGCCGACTGCCGCCGGGTGCGGGGCCCTCCGAGTACCAGAGGTAGCACGAGCCCGTGATAATGCCGCCGCTCTCGCCGACGTCCACCCACGCCACCGCCGGGCGGCCAGGGCTCTCGGGGGGCGGCGCGTCCCAGGAGCTCCGCAGGATCGCCCTCGCCAGGCTCACGGCGATGTGCTTGGGCACCGCGATGGCCGTGCCCGCGCTCCATCCTCCGTCCGCAGTGCGCGCGCTGGGCACCACTGCAGGTCTTCCAACTGTTTCGAGCCATGCGCTGCGACCCCTCCCCCGAGCCGGCCATGCCCATGGACAGCTCCTGGCCAAGCACCACGGTCTTGGCACTCGCGAGCCCCAGCACGCGCTCCAGGGACTTGGCCGTGGCTGCTGGGCGTCAGGATGGCGGCACTCGCAGATCCAGGGAGCAGCCGTCCAGCAGATCGCTCACCACATATGCCATGGCGGCCGCATGCCTCTCGACCTGCTCGGCCGTGCAGGGCTGTCTGAGGAGCTGCTTGACCTGCTCTGGCGATGCCCTGGCGGGGATGGCGACCAGGCTGGAGCTCGACTCAGTACCGCGCTTGCGCGACAGGGAGCGCGAGCGCTGTGTTTCGGCCTTGGCCTTGGTCTTCTCCATCTCCTCTGAACTGCCTGCTTCCTCTTCTTGACCATCGCAAGGGCCTCCCTGATGTCCTTATGCATGGCTTTGAGGTCCGTATCGGTGGTCTCCTTCGTGTGCTCTTGCAGCTGCTCCAGGTGGTGCGTCGCCATGCCCCACTGGCCCTCCGCGTCGGCGGCACAGTGTGCTGCTCCAGCTGCGACCTCTTGGCCTCCAGCTGTTGGATGTGCGTTTCCTTCTTCTCGAGCTTGGACTTCTCCTCCGCCAGCTCCTTCTGGACGTCCTCTGCCTGGGCGTTGAGGGCCTCGATCCGCTTCTTGGTGCGGTCCCTGGCCGTCTCCGCCCTGCGGCGCTCTCGCTCCACCTGCGCCTGAGCGAAGCAAACCGCCGTACACTCTGCGCCTGCTGGGCCTCCAGGGGGCGGACCTCCTCCTGCACTCGGCCCGCTGCCTCGCCGAGGAACTCCATGCCCTCCTCGGCGGCGGCGGCCCGCGCGCGCAGGTCGCGCACGCGGCTCCGCAGAGCCGCCGGCTTCTTCTTCGCCCCCCCCCCTCGGGCGTGAGCCTCTGGCCCTGGCTGCTGGTCCTCGTCCTTGCGGCTGTGGCTGGGGCGGCTCCGCTGCCGGCCGCCTCCGCGCCGTCCTCCACGCCCAGCACTTCCAGCACCTCGGGGCGGCTGCGGGCGGCAGCACGGCCTTTGGCGCCGCACGCGGCGCAGTCCCAGGGGCCAGTGCCTTCTGTTGTGGCTCGGGAGAGCAATGCCACTTCGAATGCTGTGCCGCTCCCAAACTCCAGCAGGTGGACGGCCCAATCCCCTGATGGAGCCGAAATGGCTGAGGAGGAGGAGGAGGAGGGAAAAGGAGGGGGAGGGGGAGGGCACTCACCGAAGAGAGAAGAGGGGGCCAAGAGCAACAGACGAAGGAGAAGAGACGAGTGTCCAGGTCTGGCTAGTGCGACAGGTCGGCTAGGATCGGCGACATCCTGTACACCTGACAGAGACGGGCCTTCAGGGCACGGAGGGGGAGGAGGAGGAGGAGGAGGAGGAGGAGGAGGAGGAGGAGGAGGAGGAGGAGAAACCGAGCGCTGATGATTCCGCAACCGATATCGGCGACGGGGCCGTAATTAGCCCCTCGGACGATGATGAAGACGCTCGGGAGTCAGGAGGAAGGAGGGGAAGAGTAAGGGGAAACCCATCACGAAGACAAATTCGGGTGAGGATACATGGGGAATCTCTGAGATCCCGCGGCTCTGGAGGATGCCTCAGGCGGCAGATCGTTCCGGAACGCTCTGAAACGGACTTTTCCTCGTCCTGGCCCCGTCCGAAAGAGGCAGGCCTGAGTTGGATCGGGTCGGGTCGGAGACGGATCGGGTCGCCGACGGATCGCTCCTGGACCGAGTCGAAATGTGATTGCCGCGCCCGGCTCCGGCTGGCCCCGGCAGATGCTGGCGATTCGAATCGGAATCGCGGCCACAGGCGGCCCGGGAAGGTGAGGGGTGCCCTTCTCCCTCCTCCCTCCTCCAACTCCTCCTTCACCCTCCAATTCCTCGTAACTGTCCCCCCTCCTCTGCTTCCGCGAAGCCTACGTCACGTGTTGGACGACCGCTCGTCAGTTGCAGCGATGATTGTCTTCACTGCCTGTACCCCCCTCGTCTACAGCCCCTCCGGTTGCTCCCCCGATACCCCCAGGATGAGCACAGCGAGGCTCGAACAGAGCCCCAGGAACTTCAGTGCGGGGGCAGGGAGCAGCGGCATAACGTGCAATGCGCTTCGGGCTCCATCCAGAACGTCGCCCTCGCCGCGCACGGGCACGGAAGAAGCCGAGGAGGAGGACATGATCAGGAGGCGGGGGGTAGGAACGGCGGGCCAGGAGGAAAGAAGAGAGGAGGCCGATGACAAACAGAAGGGGGAGGAGGAGGAGGAGGAGGAGGAGGAGGAGGAGGAGGAGGAGGAGGAGGAAGAGGAGCAAAAGGAGGAGGAGGAGGAGGAGGAGGAGGAGGAGGAGAGAGAAAGCAGGAGGAGGAGGAGGAGAAGGAGGAGGACCGAGGGGGAATAGCGGGAAGAGCAGTAATACGAGCAGGGGGAGACACTTTTGTCGACTTTCGCCCCGGGGGTCAGGAGGAGGAGAAGGAGGAGGCGGCGGGAGGAGGAGGAGGCGCTTTCGAGCATGGGGGGGGGAGGCGAGAGGAGGAGGAGGAGGAGGAGGAGGAGGAGGAGGAGGAGGAGGAGGAGGAGGAGGAGGAGGAAGAACGTGATGACGGGGAAGGAACGGGAGGGAGCGCCCGAGGGAGGGCCGTGCGGGGGGACTGGAGCAGGAAACACTGGGAGAGGCGAGGCGGGCCCAGGCGGAGGAGGAGCAGCAGCAGGAGGAGGAGCAGCAGGAGGAGGGGAAGGGCGAGGAAGACGAGGAAGACGAGGACGACGAGGAGGACGAGAAGGCGAGAGGAAGACGAGAAGGAGGAGGGCTGAAGGAGGGGAAGGGCGAGAAGGCGAGGAGGGGAAAGGCGAGAGGACGGGCAGGAGGAGGAGGAGGAGGAGGAGGAGGGCTGGAGGAGGAGGGAGAGAGGCGGGGAAACCAAACGTGACCGATACCGCTACTCCATAGACCTCTCCCAGGGCGCGTTCTGACCAGACTTTCGGGGCGAATCCAGCGGTGGCGAAGAGGGCCTCTGGAGAGGCCAACCAAGACGAAAACGAGGGAAGGGAAGCGGAATGGGTACCTTTTCCTTCTCCTCCTCCTCCTCCTCCTCCTTCTCCTCCTCCTCCTCCTGCTTCTCTCCTCCTGCTTCTCTCCTCCTCCTCCTCCGAAGAGGGAGCCGCGGGGCGCGGCGGCGGCTGGCGTCCGCGTCCTCGCCAATGCTGCCGCCCAGCCCGCTGGCGGCCCCCTCGGGCTTGCCGGCCTGAGCAGCTGGCGTTTGCGCGCGCGCGCGCGGATCGAGAGGTCGGCGTGCCGCTGCCGCGTGGCCGACGGGCGGCCGCCGCCAATGGCGTCGAGCAGAACGACGACGAGCAACGACTGCGGGCGACGGCGACGAGCCAGGGCGAGCGGAGCGACGGCGACGAGCAACGGCGGCGAGCGGCGGCGGCGAGCGACGGCAACGAGCAGCGACGGCGGGCGGCGGATCGACGAGCGACGCGACGAGCGACGATCAACGATGGCGGGACATGGCTGCGAGCGACGGCGACGAGCGACGGAACGACGAGCAACGACGGCGAACGACGGCAACGAGCGACGGTGGCGAGCTACGACGAGGAGCGACTGCGACGAGCGGCGGCGGCGAGCAACGACGACGGGCAACGTCGACGAAGGAGCACTCGTGAGTACGAGAGTGTGTGTTATTGTCCAGCGCAGCCTCAGGGGAGTGGCCCGGGCAACACATCAAACAACGTCGCGTCCAAAAAAAGGAGTTGGACTGCAGATTCCTGCGCCCACTCCGCCGCTACAGCGACGTACAAACTGCCATGCTGCTCTATTCTGCCACGCAGGAGGGGGGAGGCAGAGGGAAAAGAGGAACTGAAGCAAGAATGGACGGGCTGATACGAAAACGGTCCAAGCATATCATCGATGAGGTCTGCGGCCGAAGATGAAAGATGGAAAGAAACGAATTCCCCCACCCCTCCCGAGGCGACGTGGTGATCAAGAGGGCGGACACCAGACGTATCACATGGCGATGTGGTGGTCAACAGGGCGAACACGCCGGGGGAGAATACCAGCCACGCGCAACTCTTGGTAACGAATAGTTACACCTTTGTAATGGAGCATAGCATGCGCCCACATCTTTCAGGACACTTGCGAACAAAGCGGCGGGGAGAACGGCCAAACCGCAACAATACATCTCGACCAGCCGTGCGTGAAGTCACTGCGCCACCGCGTCCGCGCTCACGCATGTCAGGCGCGACCCTGCCAAGGCATGCTGCATGGCCGCGCCCGCTGAACAACACGTGGTTTCTGTGTGGCGAAGGTGCCCTAAGTTTCCGCCTACAGCGGGGGGTGATCCTGGGCACCCTTCCCATGACTTCCACCGTGCGCCCTCCGCGGGTGGCATTGCTTTCGGGCGGCCCCGTGCGGAACATGACGCCCTGCGCGGGACGTGCCTTGTCCAGCTCTCCGAAGAGGAGAAGGAGGAGGCGGAGGAGGAGGAGGAGGAGGAGCAGGAGGAGGAGGAGGAGGAGGAGGAGGAGGAGGAGGAGGAGGAGGAGGTGGGATTCGCCCAAGCCTGCGGATACTTGGGCCCAGTGCGGCGCCGCCTGCTGTGCATATGCAGATCGGCCCAGGGGGAATTGGCAGGCAACGCGCTGAGGCAGCCGCTGCCTCCCCCAACAGCCCAGCGCTGTGAAACTGGCGCGCTGTCCACAAGGCCTTACACGAACGGTGCTGTGAGAGCGCGGCCTGAATTTGTCATGGCTAAAGCCAATCGGCAGGTGAACAGGACGAGGAGGAGGAGGAAGAGGAGGAGGAAGAGGAGGAGGAGGAGGAGGAGAAAAAGGAGGAGTGAACGTCCCCTGGAATGTCCTGGTCGCCCACACTTCGCGCAACCGCTGGGTAGCGAGAACACGGAAGCGAGAGGCATCCGAGACTGAAATGTAAACGTGAGGGCGAGCGCCTATCTCTCCTTTCGAGGCGTGGTATATGTAGAAGGCAATGGCAAGAGAGCGAACGACGCAACCGAGCGAGTGCCGACCCACGTGCGCCGCTTCTTCCTCGAGGCACAACCGAACTAACACATATGAACTCATCGACTGCTGTGGGTCGGCAACAAACTCCGGGAAACGTAAGGTAATGCTGCACACAATCCACACAACTGGGACATCCCAGGAGGCATGCTTTGGACCCTGGGACCGCATGCCTTATACGACTTGTGGCCCACGCGCCACACACAATTTTCAGCACACGCCAGCGGATCGCTGGTGTGCCTTTCGCTAGACAGGAGCGGAGGAAGAGCCAGCGACCAGGAAGGTCGGGAGGGAGAGCAAGATCGGGACACCAGGTCCGCAACCTTTTGCGGATCGTGCCCACAAGCTTGTCTGAAAACAACTCCCTGGAAAAGGAAATCTTGCACTGCGCGCTGCACTTTAGAACGGCCCTCGTCACCGCCGCCCCCAACCCGAGCCGCCTCCAGCCTTCCCGCTCTCACAGCAGTGCGCAACACAGGCGATTGCCAAAGCACGGCACAACACGACAGGCCTACACATGCAAACGTCGTCAAACCGCTGCTCTACCGTTGGCTGTTTGCGCCACCACACCGGCGACCAGTTGCGCGTGGCGTAGCCGGGCAGCCGCGCGCAAGATCCGGCGGCTGTGCGCAGGCGAGAGAGCGGCGCGCCCCGCCCTGAAAGCGCGGCGGAAGATGTGCGCCACAGAGAGGCCATGCGCAGCGCGAGGATGGAGGAGGGACCCCCTCCTCGACACCAGTGCTTCAACGACAGAAGGCCAGCCTTCTTCATCGCATCTGGCGGGGGTCTGATCAGCTTGTGCAGACCATGGATGCCCCTCTTGAGGAGCCTAGGGGTGGGCAACACAAGCAGGGCGACATAGCTAAGCGCGAGGAGAATGGCAGAGACACAGAGAAGAGTGAGAGAAGATGGTGGAGCACGTGTGACGCTGGCAAGATGGATTCGCTTCCACCACTTCTCCGCGGGAGCC